GCTGGAGTCACAGCTGCCTGATGTGGGTGCTAGGAACTGAACTTAGACCCTGTAAAAGAGCATCAAGTGATCTTTACCACTGTGTTAGTTCTCTCTAGCTCCTGGACAGCTTTCTTGAAATCTCCGCCCCCCCACTCATATTCAGGTGATTGACAGGCCCATGGGAGGGCCAGAGGTGTACCTTTGTTCTTTTATCAGAAAGCCTTATGCCAGATAGTAATCTTGTAAGGTTCAGATAGTTGCCAGTTAATGACCTTCCTAACAGTTTAGGATGTCATATTTCCCCAGGCCAGAGAAAAGACTCAGGTCCCATCTCCCATTCTTCTGGTCATTAATGAAGACACTCTAGGCCTGAGTTTCGCAAGTGGTTGATTATGAGGGAGAGTCCAGCTCATTGTCTTCCAGTCCTGCTAGTATTTTACTTGCTGCCCAACACTAACATTGTTCTCATTTTTATAGACAAATGGACTTGGGTTAGAGAAGTAACTTAGATCAGAGTTGTTTGATAAGGACAATAAGAAAAGAGGCAATTGGTGAGATGGTGCTTCAGTCTGGAACCCACACCCAGAACCTGCTCTTACTAGAATGTGTGCACTGCTGACTGTGGTTCACAAAGTAACTGTGAGGGTGGCGGCATTTAATCCTTAAAGAAAGCTTTGGTGGGAGACTCTGGTTCTGGGATCTCCCTATCTACCTCTCCAGCACTGCGATTAGAGATATGCGACAGTATACCCAGTATTTTACCAAATGAGCTGTCTTCCCAGCTCCAGCGTATTTTATGACCTAATTCATGATTAGTGTTAAGAACCAAAGTAACAAGTTAGAGAATTTTGGTTCTCTGTATGTCTGTTTTGGACACATTTTTAGCCTCTCCTATTAGAAAGTTACTTGGGGGTTGGAATTCTAGAAGCCAGAAGTAGCCACGTTGGATAATTGTTGTGGTCCATAAAGCTTAGAAGTTCATGTTATTAAAAGTTGTTGGTGTAGATGGAGAATAAAGAAGGATGTTTCTGTCAGTTTGAGGAGTAACTCAGGTGCACGTGGAGGTGACTCCCTGTTGTGTTCCATTTGGGAAACATGAAGCAATTTGACTGGAGGGGAGCTGATTAAGGAACAGAAAAATAAAGTTGGATTTAGCATTGTCAGATTAACGAGAAAGACATTGGAGCATTCATGTAAGTATAGTATACTGTTGCTGAATCCAACTGTGAGGGTTCATAAGGCAAATCTCCTGGTATAGGAGATTCATGTTCTAGTTATTAGATTTGGCATGGTCTGGCTTTTGGCAAGTTGTTTAACTTCTGAGATGGTTCTTCATCTGTAAAATTAGGTACTAGCACAAGCCCCCTCTCCTTTTTTAAAATAAGTTTTCATGGGGTTGACTGGGCAGCTCATAATAGCACCTTGTGGGATGCTGAAAGAATTTGTTAAGACGGCATCTGTAAAGTGTTTGCTGCTGTTTGGCACGTGTTAGGTACTCAGGCCTACATAAAACTTCAGCCTACGTAAAAGGCCTGCTCTAGCCATGGGCGCAATCCAAGTACAGACTCCACAGTATGGAGTAGTGTAAAGTGAATGATACACTGATGGAAGTTTTAATTTAAGGGACTATGAAACAAGATTAATTGCAGTTTCCTCTGAGAAAACGATTATTAATAATTTTTCTTTCTATCTTCCTCTCCTTTTACTCCTCATCTCATTGCTAACAGTTATTGAGAATTGAGAACTTACTGTGTCCAGGTACTTTGGCAAACATATGATATGCATTGCCCTGTTTAGTATTTTCCCATTCTAGTATGGTGGTTAATCAGCAGTTGTTGAATCTTTACAAGGATTCTGTGAGACAGTGTTAACTTTACAAATAAATAAACAGTAGAAATTGGCAGATTTGGGATTTGAACCTGGCCTTATTGTTCATGAACTTAATGATTTATTTTATTGAATTTGTATTAAAATAACAAAAGCCTAAGCCTTTTCTGTATAGTGTCTTAATAATCCTGTGATGTAAGGTGGTGACCATTCAGATCCCTGCTCTTGGCAGCCTCTTCTGCTCTACCCTCACATTTTGGGGTAAGGAAAGCTATGAGCAGTTTGGCTTTATGAAATCACATGCCTGCATGAGGATTGATAGCCTTCTAATTCTTATATGGTATTAGCATTTTTAAAGAGGACATGGTATTAACTGAAATGAATCCTTGCTTAGAAAGGACTTGAGTTAACCAGGCAATGACAAAATCCATCAACAACCATGACTTGGTGCTGGCCAAGATTGACCTGTAAGTGAACTCTGTTTTTCAGTTCTCTTTATTTCTGTTCCAAACCCATAGGTGAACTAGTGGTAGGTGCTTGGATATTTTCTTTTTGCATGTTTGAGTTTAGTTTGTGTTTTTTAAGTGACATGGGCACTCAGGGAGGCAGAGGCATGCAGATTGCTGTGAGTTTGAGGCCAGCCTGGTCTAATGCAAGTCTAGGACAACCAAAGCTACACAGTGTCTCAAAAAAACAAAACAAAACAAAACAAAACCAAAACAAACAAACAAAAAAGTGACATGCTAGAGTTTCCTACAGTATTTTAGGTTAGACAGAGGTGGTGAAAGGAAAGATGGGAGAGGGCTGCTTGTGGGAACCTGTGAGAATTGCCTGAGAGACATGGAGCATTATTTTGGCATAAGACTATAGTAAAGTTGGCATCAGAATTTTAAAGTGTATATGACCCCAAACTGGAGTTGTGGGAGTTCACATTATGTAGGTTTATTCATAAATTTAGGTTTTTTTGAAAAATAATAAGAAAGTTTATACTGCCTGTCCTTATTTGTATCACTTTCACTATTCCATTTTAATAAAAATGCAGGAAGTTACTGGTGTTTTATGAACTTGCACCCTGCATGCTTCTCTTCTTTGTTCTTTGTTAAATATGAGCTGGCATATGTTCGACTACGTTAGCATTTGCTCAGAGGGACTTCAGTGCTTTCTAAATTCAGCTCTGCTAAGCCTGTAGACTGTTTGCTTGAATCAATGGAGACTGCTATTTTTAGCAACAAAAGGGAATTGAAATAGCAATTTTCTTCCCATGCAATAGATCCCTAGGAGGAATACTGATGCAAGCTTTCTGTCATTTTCTATCCATCCTACTGCCCCAAGCACTCGGGAATGGCAGCTGTCATGGTTTGTGGCAGTATTAATCTTTAATCAATCGAGTGTTTTCTGCATTCAGGTGTTGCAAAGGGAGGGGTAGTCACAAAAGGAACCTGCTTGGAATAACTAAGCTCATATGCATGGGCTCTGCAGTCAGACTTTAGTGGGCAGAAGCAGGGAAGAGATGGGAGAGCTAAAAATAGCATGTTTGCTTCCAGTGTTCCTCTAGTCTATTTTTGATGTTTGATTTTGATAAGGTTGATTGGGCTCTTACTAAAAATATCTGTTCCTAGCAAGTTGAGGACAAAAAGAGTAGAATATTTTTAACTTACACAAACTAAAGTACTTTTTGTTGACTGTATAAAATCTGGAAGTAGAGTCCTGGTCAGTTGCCAGTATTTTATATAATGTGTAGCAAGCGAAACACTTCTGGATGCCAAGTTGGGATATTCTTTATAGTTGTCAGTTTTCATCTTCTCAAACACTTGCAAATATGGGTTCTGGTGTTATATTTATCTGTACAGATGTAAGCCTTAAAAAAAAAAAATCTCCTTTCCCCATTTGCTTTCTTTCTCACCTCATTGTACTCCTGGCCATCCTTTGTACTTCCCCAACCCACAAGGTAGCTTTTTTTGTGTGTATGCTGTGCAAAGCAGTTGAAATATCTCCCCTTACTCCATAACAAAATGGGATCTGAGAATACCCACTGTTAACCCAAGAAGCAGATCTTAGGGATGAGAATAGTGAACCTGGAATCTTTTACTAATCTGAAGTGGCTGCTTTCCCCCATCTAATCCTATTTGGAATCCTATTTGGGTCACTGCAGAGGAGCCCTGGCACCAGGAGCCAAGTGATTGTTCTCTAGCATTGAACACCAGCTCTTTCGAAGGAGATCTATAGACTCCTTTGAAAGCATGTGTCTAACAGGCTCTTTAGAAACAAGCATCTTGAAATTACATTAAAAAAATCTCATTTTAGATGATAAATTCTTGTATGATGCTGAGGAGCTGAAGTGTATGGGCTGTGTTATTTCCAAATAAGGAATGAATAAAGCAGTAAGTCTTGTTGCAGGAGACCAATTTTCTGTTCAGAATCTTATTCATTCACTTATTCATCCATCTATTTTCAGCAAAGCTTCATGAATCATCTCATTAAAATAATTTTTAAAAATATTTATGTATATGAGTGTTTCACTTGCATGTATGTGTAATGTACATGCCTGATGCCCATTGAGATCAGAAGAGGACATTGGGTTCCCTGAAACTGGAAGTGTAGATGGTTTATAAGTTATCATGGTGCTGGGACCAAACTCAGATTGTCTGCAAGAGCCACAAGTGCTCTTAACCACTGAGCTGTTTTTCCAGCTCAAAATTACCTTTAAAAAATATATCTATATCTATATCTATATCTATCTATCTATCTATCTATCTATCTATCTATCTATCTATCTATCTATCTATCTATCTATCTTTTAACCAGTCACAGTCTTAGCAGTGGAGACTCATACATCTCTATCCTGTGGAAACCTGTGTTATTAATTCCATAAGGTGAAGTATAGAAGACTGTGAGATCCTAACAGTATAGTTGTCAAGGAAGGGGCAAGTAGAATAGATGATCAAGTGAAAACCTCCAGGATGGAAGCAGGACTCTGCCATGAGTATGTCTCAGTCCATTTGAGTTGCTAGAACAGCTGCAGAAATTTAGAAAGCCAGAAACTTAAGTCCTCATTGTACTGCATGCTGAAAGTCCAAGGTCAAGGTGCCAACAGGCTTGCTTGTATTATAAAAGTGTTTTTCAGGTTAGTGACTTGCTGTACCCCTGGAATGCAGTTTCCTTGCATGGCAGGCTAAATAAAGTTAGGCTAAATGAAGGCAGAGAGGCTAAATAAAGGCTACATGCTCTATGAAGCCGTGATGAATCCCATGCAAAAAGGTATAGACCTTATGGCATAAACACTTCTTAAAGGCCCCACCTTGGCCTACTATTACATTGGCCATTGAATTTCAACACCTTAATTTTAGAAAGGACACATTCAAACCAAAGCAGAATATATACTGAAAATTAAAAGAAGTATGCTTGTGAAGAGGGTGTTATCTTGGAGGAAGTGGACACATTCCAGCATAACTGGTGTAAGGTAACATGCCAAGGACTTGATAAAAGAGGAGAGTAGGGGGTTTATTTCATTCATTCACTAATTCATTCATCCACCAGAACTTCACTAGTCATCTCCTTTCAAAGTCACTAGCTTAGCAGTTGGCCTGTAGAAAGAGACAGGCACGGCAGGCAGGTTTTAGGCAGGAAAGTGATGTTCAGATTTGTACTTTGGAGTGATCGCTTTGGCCCAGGCATGGAAAATGAATACAGGAGGAATAAGGATAATGTGTCACAAATGCACTAGAGGTTGTTTTAGGAGTTCCTGTGAAAGATGAATGATAGGAGCTCCAGGTGGTAGAAGTGGGAAGTAGTGATTGGATTTGTGGTTTTGATTTTATGTAGTTGACAGGAGGAGATATTGCCATTGTCACTTCCTGGCAGAGGAATGAGATTATAAAGTAGTTTCTAAAAGTGATAATTCTTTTTTAAATGTTATTTTATGTGCATGTATGTGCTTGAGTGTTTGTATGTGCACCATTGTGTGCAAGAGCTTGCAGAAGTCAGAGGAGAACATCGGATCCCCTATAACTGGATTGCAGGTGGTTATTATTGGATTCTGGGAATTGAACCCAAGTCCTTTGCAAGAGCATCCAGTGCTCTTAACCACAGAGTCAATGGAAAATGATTATTGTTAATTGTATATTAACAATATACATGCATTGAGTGAGAATGGAGAAAAGGCCCCATTCCATAAGTCCTGTGTGTAACTGTGATAATTTTTAGAGTTTACTGGATAACACCAGTGAGGTCCCTTGAGCAGATATTTTCATAAAGTCCCTTTCATGATCCAATGATATTTTACTCTTCCCTTTCAGGGCCTATAATAATGACTTCAGTAAGGTAGACATTTATTTTTCACCTTTAAATAGTAGATATTTTACATATGCTTGGTTCTCCATGGTAATCTGGGACAGAAGAAAGGAAAAAATTTTAAAAAGAAGACATAGTAATGGGTATTAGGGGATTTGAAACCAGAGGTCTCTATCCTTAAAGTGACTTCATGGTTAAAGAGACCTCTAGAGCTCTAGTCATTTTTGAATTGTGTAGAGGAAAAGGAAATGGCTTCTATAAGACAGCTTAGCATCTTTCTGCCAGAATTCAGTTGCATAGCCAATTTAACTGCATTGGAGGTTGGACTAAATATGTATCCCAGGGCATTATGTTCTGCGCCATGACTTAGTACTCTCTCCTTTTTACTTTTTGAGATGGGAGGTGTTCTCTGTAGTTAGGCTGGTCTGGAACCTCTCATGTAGCCCAGGCTGGCGTAGAAATTACATACCTCCTTTGTCATCCTCCCACAGTCTGGATTTATAGGTATGTGCCATTATTATACCTGAGTAAAAGCAAATTTCCCACAAGAAAGGAAGGGAAGGAAGCATGGTTAGTGGGGAAGGCAGCTAGCAGGCCCTGACTCGGGGGTATACATGAAAGATAGGCACCCAGTATAGTTTTTATGCATTGCATTTTTTTCATTTCATTGTAGCTCTGAGTGCTTACTTTTTGATGTGTGCTTGTGTGCACGCATACACAATGTATTTTAATAAACAAGCAAAACCAATAAGGAATACTTCTGGATATTTGTTTCCCAAAGAGAAACCAAGAAAATATCTTGAGTGTTTTCAAGTCATTCTGTTCTATCTTTGTCTATCTCTCACTAATCAGTTAGTAGAAACTAATGCATTTTTAAAAATAGAAATCAAACAAATAAATAATGAGCAGATAATTTTTATTACATTATATTTAGAAAATAATGATTCATTTTAAGAAAATCTTAAGTGATTTTTGGGAAGCACTGCTTCCTGAGAAACTGGAGTAGAAATGGAATTTGCTAGCTCAGTTTTGCTACTTTTGAGTGTGTATTAGTAAAGAGCCTTGTTTTTTTTTGTGTGTGTGTGGTTTTTTTTTTTTTTTTTTTTTTGAAATGCAATGCCTGCACATGACTGAAAAATTTAACAGTGAAAAGAATTAATAACAACAAAAACAATCTTTCTCTAATTTTTATGAGCTGCCACCAGCAAACTCTTGATTGGTGATGTTTTGCATAGCTTCCTAAGTTTAACAATGGAGTTTAACTGCCCTAACAGTAAGAATGGTCAGATCTTCACAGAACCACAGAGCTATTTTTTATAAAAATACTAAACTTGAATCATGTTAATGAAGTTGTAGCTTTAAAGCAAAACAGGACATTTCTTGTAATTGTACTGCAACTTCTGTCTTCATTTTTTTTCTACATTCATTGGATTTTTTTTTTTTTTTTTTAACTTTCAAGATAGGGATTCTCTGTGTAGCTTTGGCTGTCCTGGATTCACCTTGTAGACTAGGCTGGCCTTGAACTCACGGCGATCCTCCTGCCTCTGCCTCTGCCTCCCTGAGTGCTGGGATTAAAGGCATGCACTATCACACTGGCTAGGATAATTTTTCTCTTTAATTAACTAAGAATTACTTGTTTGTATTGTATATTATTTAAAGTATTATATTACTAAGTATATGTCCTGGAAAACACCCCCCCCCCCAATTGTCTGGCCATTGTGTGTAACATTGATTATTATGGAGCTGAGGTGCCTGAAAGAGGCTCACTTCTTGTAGTTTCTGATAATGCAAATAAAAACATTGATTTTCAGAGAGCATGATAAGGAAGTGTAGTGTTATCCTGGATGTATGCTAAAACAGAAAAAGGCATTCAGTGACAAATAAGTGTTAGGCCAGATTCATGAGACCCCAAAAGACCACCAGGAGTCAAGTCCATTGCAAAACACATGAGGATCTTTTTATTACAAGCTATAGCTCGGGCTCATATTCTCCTACCAGAGTGGTTGAGAGCAAGAGCCACATACTAAGGTTAGGTGGTTGATTTAAGGATTCCGGTCCCTCCCAGCATGCCCAAAGCAGGAAAATTCCTGCCTGCCAAGTGTCTGTTGGTTGAAACACAAAAGGGGATGTTGCATTTTGAACTGATTGGCTATAGGAGGGCCCCAAACATTTAATTGTCTGGCTTCCCTTGTTTGGCTGTCCTAGGGGATAGGGGCTGGTTTCCTAGCAACTGTATCTCTAGTGGGTAGGAAAAGAACGCAGTAAGTCTAGTTCTTCCCTGCAAGTGGCTGGACACATCTCTACCTGTCTGGCCTTTGTTCAGGCTTGTGCTTTAAACTTTGATTCAATAACTGAAAAAACTAATTTTTAATTCTTTGGTCTCTCATGAGGGAGTCTGACTGAAGTATGGAGTATAGATATACTGTGTTATGGGCTTATGAATTGTGACAAGTGTACCATACTCATGTAGGGTGTTAACAGAATGGTGAGTAAGGATAGAGGTAACTCTTTAAAGAGTGAAGTGTACTGACTGCACTCTTTAAAAATTGTGCATCTAAAGGCGTCTGAAAAGTTAAAAATGTATTTAAAACTGTTTATCAAAAAAAATGTTTTTTGGAGAAAATACTCCCAACTCTACTATTATACTAGGGTAGGAAAACCTGATCTAAAAAAACATGTGCTTCAATACAGGAGGGAGGCAAGAAAATTCCAAGATGCTGTCCCAGCATTTGATTAAGAGAATGAGCAGGCCAGAGTGTAGCAGGAGGAGAGCTGGAATGCTTGGGGTGCTGTGTGGAGAACTGTAGCATGAGGTTGTTAAAACATGGATGTATATACCTGTAGTCTCAGCACTAGAGAAGTATAGACACAGGGATGAGAAGGCCCTCCCACTGAGCAAGTATGAGGCCAGTTGGGGTTACATGAGATTCTTGTAAAGAAGCAAGCAGCAGCAAATTGAAGTTTTCAGGGGAGAGAGGAGGACTTAAAAGACTACAGAAAGGTAGAGGGACAAATTTGTATCTAGGAAAGATAGAAAGTTGACTGGGAAGTGAAATGTAATTACAGTCTAGTGTTTGGTTCTGGGTGGATATTTTACCATAAAATTGTATAACAAAGACCTTTACTGGCTTTTGTCCTTGCTTGCAGAAGGAGAGGGAAAGGGAGAGAGGGACCAGGAGAGGGGATGAGGAGGGAGAGGAGGGGAGAGGTAGGAGAGGCCATGTGGGAGCCCGCTCCTAAATCCTGATTTGTTTGTTTGTTTGTTTGTTTGTTATTCCAGGTGGGCCTTTGGTAGTTGAAGCTAATTAATTGTTCATGCCAGAAAGGCTGTGATTAGAGGTTGCATCTTTGAACCTAGCAGTAAATGTGCTTATCTCTGGTTTGGGAAGGAGAATTAGGACTGGGTTCCCTCCTGTGTATTTGAAACCTGAACTTGAGTGGAAGTCCTTGTTACTGATTACTATAGGACTATATTGCAATGTTTTACACAGTAAAGAAAACAAGAAAATACAACAGGACAATTCAACATTGTGAGTGGTAAAATGCTTTAGGTCACAGAGTTTTGCAGAGTACTTGTAGGCATCAGAGGAAAGAAAGGCTTCTTTTGCCTTAAGTGTTCTGGAACAGGAGTTCCAGATGGAGCCTGGAGGAGGCTTTGAAAGGAACAAAGTAGGAATGAGGGTCTGGGATCTTAAAGAAGCAGAAGAGAAGAAAAAGGGAGAGTTGGAAATAGCTAGCATGTGCTTGTTCTTGGCTTGTCATGTGCTGGTGTGTCAAGGAGAGAATACAGGATGAAATGTGGAACCTTGGGTCTTCAGAGACAAGAGATGAGAATGCTGGTTAGTTTTGTATAGATAGTTTTAAATGTGTTACAGACTGTATGAATGAATGGTCTTTACAAACAAAGCTATAACAATAAAAACACATAGATAACCTTGGAAATTACCATGCAGCCACTTTTGAGAACTGACAATAGAAGAAGTTAAGTATTTGTTTTGTGCTCACATCCAAGTTCTATGTTAAGACAACCAATTAGTAAGGGGGGGGGTGCTTGGTGGAGATATTCCAGCTAGTTAATGAGGGAGAATTATAGTTTCAGATGTCACTTTTGCAGCCTAATGAATAAATCGCTGGACAGTGATGATGCATACCTGTAATCCTAGCACTCAGAAGGCAGAGGCAGGCAGAGCTGTGTGAGTTTGAGGCCATCCTAGTCTAGAGATTGAGTTCTAGGATACATAAAGAAACCCTATCTCGAAAAACCAAACTGGGGTAGCAGTTAGGAATAATGGATCACAAGATTGATTACCTATGGCGGTTAACCCAGCAAACAAATCACTGGACTTAGGGAGCATTTGAACACACACAAAAAAATTAAATCTGAACTTCATCAAGTATCTATATCCAATTACCAAAGAATAGAAGAACATGTTTTATTAGGGGAATGCAGTCAGCAAATGACAGGCTGAGAAAGCAGAAACCCATTATCCAGGATATTCACCTGTAAATTGAGTTGAGGGTGAGAAAGGAAAAGAGAGGAAGAAACAGAGACCATTGTAGAAATTTGATAACCATTTTACTTTTTTATGTATTTATTTTTTGACATGAATTAACATGATATTTGGGACTAACTTTAAAGTCTGAGCTCAGTGGATAAAACCCACCCTCAAGCCTGACAGACCTCACTTCAATCTAAGAACCCTTGGTAGAAAGAGAGAACTACCTCCTGAAAGTGGCCCTCAGACCTCCAGATCTGTACTGTGGCACCATGTGTGCTCTGCATGCGCATACTTTCTTACACCCACATCTGGATACACATGCCTGCACACATGCCCGCACACATACACACAGATAAACATTTTTAAAATAAAATAGAAAATCTGAGATGAGAGGGAGTATGTATAAAGGAAGTAAGATTAATCTGAATTTGATCATTGGTTCATTGGACCATAGTTACATGAAGGTTTGTTTTCTGTACATTTTAGGTTTTTTTTTTTTTTTCTTTTCTAAAAAGATTTTAAAACCATCTGGAAAAAAATGGTGGCTGATCAGGCACTTCATAAATGTACATTTCTTTGAATGGGCACTAGGAAACGAATATCTTTTTTGACTGAGCATAATGTTATATTTGTGTTGTATGTGTCGTAGTTCATTTTACTGCTGTTAATTATACATTGTATGTCTATACCTCATTCTACTTACTCATTCTTCTGTAGATTAATATTTAGGCTTTACTAGCATATAGCATAAACACTAACAAAGCTACCACAAACATCTTTTGGTAGACCTCAGACACTTTTTTTGAGGATTGCTGGCTTGTAAGGCAAACATCTCTTTAGTTCTAAACATATTGACAAATAGTTTTTTCAAAACAATTGTGTCAGTTTGGTACTACTGGTAAGATAGGAGAACTTCGGCTTCTTTACATCCTTGCTAACACTTGAGATTTCAGTCCTTTCAATTTGAGATGTTGTGGTGGGTAGGTAGTTCTAAATTTGAATACTGTTGTTGCTTATTTATACATTTACCTGTTTCACTGAGAATTGAACCTAGGCCCTTGTGCATGGGAAGTTCTGTGTTCTACCACTAAGCTGCACACCAAGCCCTAGATATTGCTCTTTCAAAATCAAATATTGGACTAGTGTTTTTGGGTCTCATTGATGTTCTCTATCATTGATATCATCTGTCATTGATGTTCTCTGGGCACTTCCTTATAGCTCTTAAACTAAACTATTCCTCTTCTTTCTCAGTTGTTACAGGTAGCACTGATGGAATTGGAAAGTCGTATGCAGAAGAGGTACGTGATTTTCATGATCTGTTTTAAAAATTAGAAAAATAGAATAATCTCATACAATAATAGTTTTGATTCAATTTTATTACACTTTTTTTGTTTTCTTTATTTTTAGATAGGGTCTTACGATGTAGCCCTGGCTAGCCTGAAACTCTCCATGTGGACCAGCCTGGCCTCAAACTCCACAGAGATCCTCTGCCTCCTGGGCACTTTTTTTTTTTTTTTAAGATTTTAATTTATTTGTGTGTGTGTGTGTGTGCGCGTGCGCGTGTATGTGTATGTGTGCGTTTATGCCGCACAGGAAGTCAGAAGAGGGCATCGAGTCCCCTGGAGCTGGAATTACAGAGAGTTGTGAGCAGCCTTACATGGGTGCTGGGATCTGAGTTTGGGTCCCCTGCAAGAACAGAACACTCTTAAATGCTGAGCCATCTCTAGCCCACATTTATTTATTTGTGTATATGTGTCTGTAGATGCATGCACACCACAACATGCAGGTGAAGGGCAGAGGACAACTTGTGGGGCGAGCCAAGTCTTTCATTCCAACATGTGGGTCCAGTGGATCGAATTCAAGTCATTAGGCTTGATGGCGAAAGTACTTTTACCCACTGAGCCATCTTGCTGGCCCTGGTCGTTATGCTAGGGAGGTCTCTACTACTGAGATGTATTGTCTCAGCCCCTTAGAATAATGTAAGCCAGTTTTCATACAAAACTGAATTTGTGTCCTCATGATTAGGTCATGGTAAACATTTTTAACAGAAATGGCAATAAAAACGATATTAATCCTCCTGACCTCATCCTTTCAAGAGGCACAACACACCATGTGCCCTATTATTGATGGTGTAAAGACAAATAATTCATTAAGATGTTTATTACAATTTATTATAAAAGTAAGAGGGAATATGTGACATGATACTTTGGGATTCTATATACCTTATTTTCTAGCTAATTTTTAGCTCAAAGCTATTCACATCCAGTGACCATTTAGCCTGAATTAGTTTACTATAATAGTTTAGTGATTTTTCTAATACATTTCTTCCTCTGTACCCTACGCTAGTCTATATCTAACACATTGTGTAGCCCAGGCTGACCTTAAGCTCATGGCTGTCCTTGCTCTAGAGTTACAGTCCTGAGCTACCATGCCTGGCTGGTGTGTTTCTTTAAACAAGAGCTTTTCCTGTCCTTCCTCCTTTGTTAAAATGTGTTTCTCTCTCTCTCTCTTTTAAAGAATCCATGGGCTAATGGATTCTTTAGTGTTTTTATAGCAGATTAATTTAGCAAATTACCAGGCCTTGTTATTTTTATAAAAAATGATCTTCCACAGCTCATTTGCAATATTACGTCTTACTTAATAAAATCTGACTTTAGAATTTACAACCGGGAATTAGTTTACTGAATCACTTTATACTTTACATCACCCAGAGTGCTGCTCATTTGTAAAGTTTCTGGTAGTTCAGTACAAAGTTTTAAGCCTGTTAATGTTCTTTCTCTACATCTTTGTCTTCTGAGTCTCTATGACAGGAACACATTGCTGTGAATGTTTTTTTACTCTGTGCAACATTACAAAGTGTATGTAGAAGACTATTTTCAAGAAATTATTTATTACTTTATTCATTAGCAGTGGTTAGTGGACTTTACCTTGGTTGCCCTTTAATTTTAATGCCAATGCTACTTACTACTGTGACAAAATACCCAACAAAAGCAACCCAGGGAAGGCTTAGTTTAGCTTCCAGTTCAAGGGTAGAGAAGTTAGGGCTACAAGACCTCAAGGCAGCTGATTATCTTATATCTCTAATCATGAATTAGCAATACATGTGCTCAGCTTTTTAACAATGATCCTGAGACCTAGCCCATGGGATGAACTGCCCATGTGTAGTCTTCTCTCCTTAGTTAGACTTTTCTAGAGTCATTCTCATGGACACACCGGGAAGTGTGTTTCCATGGTGATTCTAAATCCAGTTGACAATGATGATTAACCATAAGTTCCAAATACAAATTTTAAGATTGATATAAGAACTGCTGACATTTTAGCTGTGGTTTTTTTCCCCCACTAATAACTGTTCTGTGTATCTAGCCTATGAAAACTTTTTAAATCCTAAATTGGAAATTACCCAAGCTGTAGCATATAACAATGTAAAAAAGCCCACAGGTACCTTGTAGGTAGGCCTAAAATAAAAAGTAGAAGCCACCATTTTTCCAAAATGGTTTGAGATTTAAATGCTTGGTTAGTTCTGGGCAATCTTTTTTGGAAAATGTTCATTTTGGATCACCAACTCAATAAATATGTTTGAATTGTCACCTAGTGAGAATTCCTTAAAATGGGAATACAGCTAATTTATGTTTTATATTGAACTTCAGAGATGTGATTCAGATCTCTTATTGTTTTCAGTTAGCAAAGCGTGGAATGAAGATTGTCCTGATCAGCAGGTCCCAGGACAGACTGAATCAGGTTTCCAGCGATATCCGTAAGTTTTCATATTTTAAATCCAGATCATCAAACTAGTGTAGCCAACCTAAGTTGTGTTTCAAGCAGTACCTAGTAGCACATTCCTTTAGTGTTAAGTAAATGCTGAAACTGCTTTTTGTATTGCTAATGGCATGTTTTAAATTTCTAATATAAAATAAAAAGATTTTTGAGACAGCTTCATTGTTCATCCTTGAACTTGTTACATAGCAGATTGGCTTTGAACTTGGGATCCTCTTGTGTCAGCATCCTGAATGCTAAGATTATGTTTTGTTTTGTTTTAATTTAGAAATTTTTATAACTCTTCAAAAAAAAACTTCATCAATTTCATCTGAAGAATTATTGTGATGTCTTTTAATTACACATATAGTTCAGATAAGAGTTGAATTAACTATTTTACCATATTCTACTAAAATAAGTTACTATTAAAAAATATCCTAGAATATTTTGAATTTCAGTGTTTCTAAATGCCTGGTGCATGTGATTGAGATCCACTGGGACAGGAACCAGCGCATGTGACAGGGAAGCTATAGTCTTCCATGCCAGTTAGTGACACTGAATTCTGTACCTTATCTTTGACATGCAAACTTAGCCGATTGACTTAACTGAGTGGATAGATAACAGTGCAGGTAGTTTTCTTGGTAAAACACTGTGCTGTCTAAGGTGAGCACACTTCTCAGTGTGATGTGCGAGGCTTGTATGGTTGTGCTGGTCCACTCAGGTGGCTTACTGGAATGAGCTGTGCTTGTCCCTGAACTTCTGTTAGGTAATCTGTAATGATGCGGTATTGTGAAAGGGAGACTTACACCTTTAAAGCTATGTTGCTGGCTCTGAAAAAAATGAGTTCTTTCAGAAATTGCTTTTCAGTTGGCATGACTAAGATAAAGTGTAAAATACTAAAAAACTTGTAAGAAGTAAAAAGAAATTTAAAATTTGGTTTCTGTTGGTGTCATATGTGTTGAGGGTTTTTTTTTTTTTGTTTTGTTTTGTTTTGTTTTGTTTTGTTTTGTTTTGTTTTTGTATGTGTGTGTGTGTGTGTGCACGCGCCTTTAAAAGAGCTGAACCAGAAGCTAGAAATAGCATCTGGACAAGGAAGCTAAGATCCAGTCTTAAGAAGACAAAGCCTGGACCCTACAAAGGACTGATGAATGAGTTGTATTTGTAGTTGGTTTAAGTTAAATTGATTACAGTGCCTGTTTCTAACTGATTCATGTGTTACTGACTTCTGAGAAACTAACAATTCCATTTAGATGGGAGAGGGCTATTATTAACATCTGTCTCCCATGGTCAGCCTTCCAAGGCGCTTTACTGCTCACTCCTTCACACACATCCTCTCCATCTCTGTGAGAGCTGAGTGTTTGTTCCTTTTCTCCAGATCTAGATAGTCTTGGTGAGCAGACTGTACATAAGACTTTGCTTTAGGTGCTGAGGATGGAACACAGAACCACAAGAAGGCTAAGTACTTTTGCTAGATATACCCTAGCCCCAAAGCCAGTTTTAGTTGGAGGTTCCCAGTATTAAGCATGTAGAGTTCAAAATATAAATTAATTTTGAACTTTACTGTGAACACAAATTTTTACAAACTGAGTGCTTAATGTATAGACTCCAGTAGATCTTTTGGCATTTTTATGTTTAGGAAAGATTTCAGCTATGTAAATGTGGTCCTGACCAACCAAGATGCTGCTTTGCAGTTTTTGCTGAAGTGTGAATTTGAATTAAGATATGACACCAGTGAGTCTGAGATAGTCACACGTGAGGGGAGGAATGTAACCTAGTGCTTGGGTCTTGGTCTTATCTCATTCTTGAGCACTTAGCAGTTATAGATTAATAACTCTCAGAGTGGTGAGGATGCTATGCTTGGTATATATAGAAATTCAGTATTAATGAAAGCAACTGCTAGTTGCTACAAATAAAGGTTCATAATCAGAAAATGTAAGCTTTGATTAAATGTAATGTTGAATCTTGAAATGTTGATAGGAATGAATTCACAATTTCCTTGACAGTCAGGGAGGCTTAGGAAGTGTGCCAGCTTGTGTAGAATTTGAGTGAGTCCAGAGATACAAGTTGATAATATTTGAGAATTTGGTTGATTTACAATGTGAAGTGACATGAATATTGGGCAAAATGTGATTCTATTCTGATACATTTGTGGAAGAAAAGACATTCATTGAATTGACCTTTAATTAAATGGACTATTTTTTTTTTCTGGGCAAAATATGCATAAATAGAAGTTATAGCAGCAGACCTTGTCATAAGCTGATGAAATATACATACATTACAGGGAATCTATAAATAGGGTAACGTTTTGAGATAGAGGTTCATGTATTTCACGCTGCTCTTGTACTCCATATATAGTTAAGGAAGACATGAAGCTGATCCTCCTAAGTGCTAGGATTACTGTTCTTACACCCATTTAAAGTGGTTCTAGTAATTGAACCAAGGGCTTAGGATATGCTAGCTAAATACTCTACCATTTGAGCTGCATTCCTAGTCCTATGACAAGCTTTAATTCACATGTGGGTCTATTTTTTGTCAGGATGTTTTTATGAGTGTGCTTTTCCAGGAAAATGGAGGGACCAGGATCACATATTGATAAAGACAGACAAACTGTATTTCTTTGGTTATACTTTGAATATCTTTTATTAAATGTCTATGTACTTGGTTCTATGGTAATCATTTGAGATACAGTGATGAACAAAGGATTCATCCTTGTTCTCCTGTAATTTGTATCCCAGTGAAAGAGACGTGAAAACAAATGATTTTTTAAAAACCTAAATAAATAAAAACCAGACAGATAATTAAGTAGCTGCTATTTGCCCTAAGTGCTACAAAGAAGATAAAGGGCTAGTAAGAGAACAACAAAAAAGTTATTTTGTATGGTGAGTTTTGTGAGATTGACAGGATACCTAATGCTCTATACTAGTGTGCAGTAAATGACATTAAATCCTTAGTGATGGAAGCATTCTCTGGGCCTCCTGGGGATAGAATGGTAGCAGGACTGTACTTGCACAAGGCGCACATGATAAGTCAGCTTCATCGTTCTAGTATTCTTGAGGCTTCTGGTCCATGCCTCTACCTTATGACATTAAATGAAGCCTGTCATAGCACCCATGTTTCAGTCGGCCTATAGTGTTAACTAAGCCCCTTCCATGTATATGAGCTGACCATCAAATCCTAGTTCTCTGGTGAGTCATATAAAGAAAGTTGGCCCATTCTGATTTTCTTAGTATAACATTAAGAATCCATTTCACACATTTCTCTTTCTATTTATACAAAGAAGCAAAGTTTATTTTTATGAATAAGCTATTAGCATATGGCTCAAAGTTGTGCATGTCGCCCCCTCCCCACCAAGGAATGCTGCAACCTAATTCTGTTATTTATGGAGATGAGGGATGACTGAGTTGAATTATGGGGAGAATTCTCTTGTAAGAAAACCACCCATGTCATTATTGTGTGAATAGTACCTTCAAACAGGGAAGCCTAATCTTAGAGGTCCAAAGAGGCCATTTGTGTGGGCAGTGTCACAGGAGGTCCAGATAGCCTTGGCTTTGAGAGTCTCAGCTTCTGTTGAGATTCCCTACTCTAACAATCTAGGTTTCACTTCTCCTGGTCAGTACATTCATGTTCACATATGAAACATGTTCATCTTATATTATAATCCTCCAACTTGAACATTTATGTTGCTTGTTAACCAGGTGAGATTTGTGGCAATATGACGCAAAAACCTTTCAACGCAGAAACTTCTTGAAAATTGCTACTTGAAAGTTCAGTGGTTCACCTTGTCATTTCCTCCCATGAGTATTACAGTGCAGTAGGAAGAAGTTGTAGCATGTGTAGGCCTTGTGCATCTCATCTTTACCCAGTGCAAATGTGGCAGTGCTTTGTCCCCTAGGCACTTTTTCAGTAGTACTAGACTCCCTGCTTCTTGCTGCATTGTGGGTGTTTTCCACTGAGAAGGAACTCTGCTCTCTGTTCAAAGGACACAGAAGAAACAATGTGCATGTTCTTTGGTGGTGTTCTCAGCAGCTCATTCCTGTTGCTGACTCTCAGAGTCACACAGGTTAGCTTAACAAGGCACATACATTCTGGCCAGTGAGTTAAACTCATCCTTCTCACTCCCTTGTGACTAGAAGAGGGAAGACGCAAGCCGAAGAGAAGGGGGCTCGTCTTGCTTCTCTCTGTCTGTTCCCCATCACCATACAGTCTTGGTGTTTATAGCTTTAGAAGCAGTTCTTTGTGGACACGAAGGCAGTTTTTCAGCAGTTAGAAAGGCTTATGTAGTTGAATAGGACTGCAGGTATCTCCAGGAAAGGTTAAGTGCCAGCCGGATATTTGGAAAGGAACCTGTTTCAGAGCCATGACCATGTAATGCCCTTATTTCATTATCATTGTGAGCCAGGATTATTTATTTGTTAACCATTTTTGCCAGTTTTCATTTGTCAAAGAGAAGAGCCCTAGCAAAATTTTAAAGCTGAGCTGGATTTTTATTTACAGTAAAACACAACAAGGAGCCCTAAGACAGAGCTCATAACTGTTAGAGCTGGTGGCAGTCACAGCTCAGCTGATCCTGTGGTGGTCAGCTTTTCTGATAAATCACAAACAAAGGCAGTCTTGTTTTTGTTTTGTAATTTATCTCCTGGTTGAAGCTTTAAGATGGCTCTGATTCCGTAACTTCATCTCTTTACTGCAGACCTTTTACAAATGAAAATTTTCCTGCTTTCCAGTGAACAGAGGAATAAGATTAAGGCAAAAAGTGTCCATTTCCCCTTTTTTGTCCTTATCTGTGATTAAATCAGTGTGACTAAAATTAAGATGTGTATTTGACATAAGTTTGTTTTTAAATTAAAAAAAAAATTCACTATTTTTGTGTGTGTGTGTGTGTGTGTGTGTGTGTATGTGCCATGGTAAATGTAAGGAGGTACAAGGATAACCTGGAGGGAATCAGTTCTTACCCACCACTATGTGGGCTCCTGAGGCTTGGTGCCACATACCTCTATCTGC